ATGGGTAAATAAAACTACAAACATGATGGACATGCAAGACCAGCTGTCAAGTAGAGAGGCTGGTTAAAGATTTTGTATGACTTAAATATTTTCTAGTGGGCTAGATATTATTTAAATAGCATGTGTTATACTTGTCTGCAACTACTGAACCTCTATAAAAGACGCTTGAACCATAACATCTGAATGTTGAAGTTATGCAAAGACCTGAGATTTCTCTGCATGTAAGACTCGTGAATGGCAAATTCTCACTTCTGCTTTTCAAATAAGGTAGGAAATTAAATATGAAAGTGGGGGCTCATAACTAAAGCAACACAATGACTTAACAAAATAGTATGTCCTAAAGCTTGCATACCTTTTAATACTCAATTTTTCCTTCCCTTACACACACACACACACACACACACACACACACACAGGTTGTGGAGTGTTGTGACGCTGATGTGCAGTGTATATGTGACAGTCATGAGTGTCACTGTGGTGGTTGTTGTTGTGTTATTGTATCTGTGTTGTGTAATCAGGATATTAAAATAAACGAGAAGCAGCTCGCCTTGACCAATCACCGAGCTGCAGTCACACACAGCAACATCACATCTCAGCCGGCTCCGTCAGGGGTTTGGGTCTCCTAGAATTGTTTGTGTTGTGTTATGTGGAGATGTGCAGGTGTCGTGAGCGACTCGCAGTGTGTTTCTTCAGTGTGTTGTGTTGTTGTGTTGTTGTTTGCACGTGTGTTGTCACGCTGATGGGTTTCTTTATTTGCTGCTGGTTTGTGTAACTGTGTGTGTTTTCTTAAACTGCAGTGTGTTGAGCTCTCTCGGCTGGGCCGGCGCTGTACACATGTTGATCACATGACCTTCACACAAAATCAATTTCAGCTTTAATAAAACGACGACTGTTTTTCTGTTCAGTGAAATATATAAGCATGTATAATATATATAATGATGCGTGTGCATGTGTGCTCCAGGTGCTGAACTGGTCTGACCTGTGTCTCCCGCTGGCGTGCAGTCCAGGTCAGCCGTACCGGGCCGTAGCAGAAACCAGCCTGGAGAACTTCAGCCGC